TGGTATTTTTTATGCCATGATATTTCTTGAAAATCCCATTTTTGGACTATTCAGGTGTAGAAGAACCAAGAAATGGTACTCATGAACCTGTACAGCCACTTTTGCAAAAAGAAATTGATCTGAGACCCCGACCAGTCGGACCGTGGGCTGATTTGAGCCTGATGCAAGCCTAATACAGGCAGATTTCATGGCTTTACATAACTAGCTATGTACTTAACATCATAGTTAAGTCAGGTTTATAGCATAAAAACCCACAAAAAATACAAAAGTTTGGTCAAAATTGGTGAAAACCCCCAAATTTTTGATTGTTTTGGTGAAAGTAGGTGTTATTGGAACCCCCTGACCAGTCGGACCAGGGCTGTCCCCGGCCAAACCAGTCAGAGAGCTTTGGTGATAACAACTGTCACAGGGTCCAAATTTTGCACTCACGACGTGTTAGCAAAGCTTTTTCCAAGATTGTGTCAAGATTGTTGTATGTTTGGTGCCAGGCTACACTTTGTGCAGCTTTGGAACACACTCTTTACACCTGGTTGGTGTTGAGCGAAGTCAATCTACAAATAATCAGTATGAGTAATACCTATCTTGATACCAAACATGTATGATTCCTTTGCTAATGTGTCGTGAGTATAAAATTTGGACCCTGTGTGTATATGATTTTTTTCAAATCATGATGATGCTTAAGAATATATAATCTCATCAACAAAATCACGTCCTTTTTATTATTTTGGTAGGACAATTACAAGGAATTTCTATCAAATCACATTCACAATGTCCACCAAAAAGATGAACTCTTCATCTGGTCACGCTGAGCATTTAGCTCCACCAGCAGTGTAGTTTCTTATGTTCTGTGTTTGCCCAACACGGGTGGAATTCATTCAAGAAAGGGAATCTAAACCTATTTGAACAGTCGCATTGATTATCCAAAGATTCAGTCTTCCTTCTGATTCCACTTGGTGACTGGTTTTACCCATTCGACATAAGATCACCAAACTGAGGTTTTTGAACCCAAAGATCCAAATCCTTCTCTGTAGGTGGCTTAAGTATTGGTCCCAAATGTTGGGCCAGTGATTTTTTTGAGGGGGGGAAGCTCTCTGGGTCCTATGGGCCATAGTATCAGAATCTAGCCAGTCCCGTGATTTCAGAACTACCATAAAAAGGTGTGAATGGTCAAGCTAATTTCTGTAACATCGAGTTTGAAATTTGAATTTATTTTGCAGGAAGACCTGTAGTTGAGATTAGCCTTTATGCACTGTAGAGGAAACTTTTTGTCTTTGTGATGTGATATTTTCCATGAATTGCACTACAAGGGTCCAGAGAAGTTGTGATTGGTATTCGAGAAAGGGAAGCATAATGATAAAGTACTGTGATCATGAACAAATCAAAAAGACCATTGACCATAGGTTCTCTAGTCAATGACTCTTCGAAGAGTATAGGAAGATACGGCTGTGTGTGCACAATATACGCATGTCGTCTTGATCAAAAGCTTGCTCATCGTCACTTTCATTCAAGCCTTCCTCCTCTAAATCATTGGAAAGAGCTTCTAAGTGAAGCCGACTCAATCCCATGCCTCCGCGCGAGTCATTCCGAACCATCCGATTACTCTGGTGAACCTAGCTAGGGCCAGAAGTAATGTGAAAGGTAATGGAGAATTATATCAGTTGTGGTACTCGAGTAGCTTTTCTCTGCTTTCTGGTAAAGGGTATACATAGCTCAAGTTACTATTGAACATTCAAAACCTGAATCTCCAACTCTTCCTGGTGGCAGTGCTGATGTGACGTTGTTTCAGAATTTGAGGATGCCGAAAGAGATGATGGGTTGATCAATTAACTTGGAACCTGTTTGTTTATCAAATTTCAAAATCTGATAGGTCTTACAACGCTAATTTTGTTCATCTTAGGCGAAACTGGCCTTTATCAGGTTCAAAGTATTGACTTTCCATCTGGTGTTTGGTAAATTAATCTTGACACGTTTTTGAGTTTCTGAGTTGCTCGAACACAAATAAAAACATTTGAGATCTTTTGTTCGCCGCACTTATGTATCTGGTGCGTAGTATCCTCTCTATTTTTTCATGATAAGATTTGGATGTGTGTGTTTTCATGAGTACGGAGCCAGCTGATGTCTTCTTGATGATTTGTCCGCCAGCAATCTTGTTATCGTGATCTGGTTTGATAGCTCGCATCATTGCCCGGTGCAATGAGGTCATTGATATTGACAAGGACAAGAGCAGGGTGTTCAATCTTCCTAGAGACAGTCCTCACAGGGTTTTCGGCAAACAACTAAAGTCAATGCAACGGTAAAGGGCTTTAGCCGCACGAGTCGAGTAGCGAACAAGTGAAGGTGTGAAAACCCTATGGATGCCGCGCTCATAAAAATACGATTGAGATTTCTTTTCTCTGGTGAGTGGAGCAACCCTTAATAATAAAGAATTCCGTGAATGGCTTCGCAGCCAGGGGACCTGATAGTATGTATCTTCTTTGGCATTACATAATTTTTTGAATGCTTCATCGTGAATCCTATGGTATAAAGGGAAGCATGATGTGATCAGGTGGTGTGATCAACTTCCTATCAACACCATCATTCCTTATCAAATCTCTTTGTAACTAGACCTCTCATCTTTATCTCTTCCAACTCCTCTGTCAACCTTCAATTCTCTGCATCATCTTCGGTTATCCATTTCATACTCTTATAAATACGTTCATTGAAATCCCTTCAGGTTTCAATTTATCGTTTGTTTGTTTTTAACATACTACAATTTTAACTCGTCGGAAATTTCAAAAACCTTTTAGATTCTTCAAAATGTTCAATTCAATCGAATTCTTAAGCTCTTATCTTTCTCAACATAGTCCTCGACATTCCAAAATCCGAACTTCATGTCAAACTCCCGGATCAGATTGTCATATTTCAGAAGACGATTCAGTTTCATTTCCACTTGGTTCTCTTCAACCTCCACCCGCTTATGGAATCTCTCTTCCACCTCCTTCTTACAGGTCTGCACTTGGAGGATTAAGTTTGGTGGACAGAAGTGATCATTCATTCAAGATTTATTATCGTGATTTACTTAGTTTGTCTAAAGAATGGTCTAGAAGAAAATCACTCAAGGCCGACTCATTAAGATATGTCAGTTTGTTCTTATTCTTTGTATATATTATCATAGCTTTGATCTGACCCTTTCACTTGACTTCGAAAAAAAAAAATTAAACCTGAATCCAATAGGTTGAAGGAGGTCCTTTCCTTGCACCACGCCGAATATCTGACATGAGAGATTTATTCATGTCTATTGTTGAACACAAAACTTGTCCGACCATTCCAGAGATCGGATCATGCGATTGTCGAAGTGTTAGATGGGCTCTTTTAAAACATGAATGGTGTGAAGTTTTACTTTTGATGGGTAACATTGTACTTTGAGATTCTCAACATGATGACCAGCTAGCTTGGGGATCAATGTTTAGATATCTGGCTTTGAAGTCTTGTTATAAGAAGTGTGAAAATAGACTATCTACTTTTGGTTGTACTCGTAGGATCGTATCTTGGGTTATGGAGCACAATGAAACTAGAACTCGAATTTGTCTTGTGTGAAAAACAATGAATCCATTTCACCTATACCTCTGTCCACTTTGCTTTGCCGGTTCTCAACGTACGAGAGGAGGCTGAGTTTATAAATTTTATTAAGCTCTTGAAGAATTTGTTCGGTTCACGGGGTTTGGGGTTGTCTTACCAACATTTTCCATCTCTAGCTCTTTGTCATAACAAACATGATATGGATCCCATTTTTTATCTCAATCTGATAAGACACGCAATAAGGTTGTATACATCTGGAAAGGGGGAAATTTAAGCACAAGTGTCACGAGTCTTGGTTATGTTGAGATTCCCGTCTGTGACCAAACAGATGGGACCTATTCTTAGCTTCTCATAGGTGTATCTTTTTATGCCGGTATATTTGAATTCCATACAAGGCCAGTGTTTTGCTTCCCGTACTTAGCTCATCATATGTATTTTTGAAAAAATCAAAAACTCACACAGTATTCCAAAGCTCGCATTTTTTCATTCATAATCTAGGTATTGGGGCGCATCAATGTTCAATAAATTTTGATGTCAATGTGAATATTATAATGTAGCATCATCCATCTTGAATGCAAGTTGTGTACATATGATGTTTCACATAGGAAATATACAAACAAAAATGTAAATCAGAATAAAAGTTATACGAAATTTCAAATCAAAAGTTTGAAAGAAACGACCTTTGAGAGTTATTACAAGACTTAAAAAAAAGAAAAGAAAAAAGAAGAAAAAGAGTGCTTGAAACGAAGGAGAAAAATGATTATAGATGTTTATGATTTGATTATAAGGAGATAAAGATAAAGGAAACTGAATTGTTGGAATTTGTCCATTTCTATTCTAAGTGAATTAACACGTATCCAAGAGATTGTTCTTTGGAAACCCAGTTTTGACATTTCCACTTCCGTCACCGTGTTTCTCTTGGTATTGAAGCCAGGTTGTAAGATTGGGATTGGTGCTATCGGACAAAAGGAAGTAAATGTTAAGCTTAAGGTCTCCTTGAAGTCTTTAAAAACCGGAAGATTTGAAAAAATCATGAAAAGATGAAAGTCAGCTTACTATGCTTCCTTATGATCCTGAATATAACTTTCTGTAGGGTATTTAGGAGGACTACATCCAATGTTGTTTGGTGATCCGATAGGTTGATATACTCTTACCCAATCTACCCTCATCTTTGCCGGAAATTTTAGCTTCTTGAACTCAATGGCCCCAAAGGCTGGTGAGATTCCTAAACTGATTGTTCGAAAAAAGACAAGATGTGATGAGTTAGAACAGAATGAGACGAGCTTGATAACATGGTGAAAATAGGTTAAAGGTGACATACTTTAGCAAAATATACATAGGTTCGTTTGATATGACCCTCTGACCTATTTGACTGAGTTTATCTGGTCCCACTGCCCCAGGAGTCAGAGTCCACATAGCCTGTGAACATCAAGTTAAAGATTAGTTCGAAAATCACAAGGACATGCAAAATTGGTACGATGACTAACCTCGTCTTGTTGCGTCCATGTTATATAAGGATTAGCTGAATCAGAAGGTGCATATTCAAATCCGTAATTTGCATATTTCTGGCCGTCATACGCATCCTGCGACAGAGACATATGTCAAGCGTAAGCATGTGATTTTCGAATCGGGTGACTCAGAACTGACCTGGTCTGTGTTACTCAAACCTGAGGCCGATTGTTGATAAACCCCTCCTGTGTAGGCATTTAGCCCTGGGTCGTATTTGTTATTGTAAAATGTAGCGAATCCATTTGTTTTGTTGTTCTGAAAAACCAAATCAATTTAGACATATTCAGAATGTGATCAAGTAGGTTTCAGGAGGCACAAGAAAAACTCACAATGGTATATTTTGCGTTATAAGGCGCAAATTGAGCAGATTGTGAGATTTGACCCATGTGCTTCTCTCGATCTAAAGTCCCTTCCAAGCTGTCAAAAACATCGTTAGACTCAAATCATTTTGTTCCGATGAAAGATGAGCTAATACTTACATATCGATCTCAGGGGCGCTGCGACCAACAAATGAGCCATCATTATGTTTAGGCCCTGGATGATAATTGGGTCCCGAATTAGATGAGCAGGTGCAACGACTGAGCCGCTGACCAGGCAGGTAACTCAGGCTATTGTCATTATACGGATCGCCCATTGTGGTGACTGCTGGCGGCCCACCCGTCTTGGGATCTGTTTGATTTGGCAGGGTGCCGATGTCACATGTGTCATAGCTGTATGGCCAAGTGCCGTCGAGCGAGGCACCATATCCGGCGCGACCAAGATTCCCCATTGTCCAGAAAGCGGGCCAAAACCCTGCCACATCGGGATCTCCTGGAAGTGAAATAGATGCTTCGATGATACCGCCTGTGAAGCAGAACTTATTCCAAGTTTGGATCATTCCACCGCGATAATCAAGTCCATGATTCTCGGTGGGATCCGCAGCCTGGTCGAGCGTCAGGATTAATGAACCATTCTGAGTCGTAGCCTGATCCGGGTCGTACCACTCCAAATTCTTCGTGGCCCAGTAATGAAGGTCTGAGATGGGATGCATAGTGAGTAAAAATTCAAAGTAGAAGAGAATCCTTCGATTGGACGAGTGTTACGTACCTACAGCCTCCCAGTAAGGATCGTCACCCGGCCAGACTATGCATATCGAATAAGGATGCGAAGAAAAAGAACAGACACCAGTTAGATAAGTCAAGCCAGGCTGAAAGTAAAGATCTCAAAATTGCGAAGGATTCTTGTGAGGGCAATGAATTGATAAGTAGATGAACTCAACATGTCCGTCCATCCTCATTAAACTCGTCGCTAAAGACCAATTGATATTTATTTCCATCAACCCCAGTCTTGGTGAGGACATCTCGAGGAGTGTCGACGTCGATGAGACCACGAAATCCTTGAATCTCGGGTACTTGCCCACTCGCATTGATTCCACCCAGATTGAAACCACCCAGGGTACCAAAGGGATGTCGAACAAAATAAGAGATGATGGGGTAGCCGGCAAAGAGGGTTACCAATAAGCTCGCGAGGGTTAGCAAGCCTATGGCGTTTAGCCAACCTCGACTAGACCATATTGCTGTCCTTCCTGCCATAGCTTTAGACTCAATTATCAGTCTATCTGCTCCTTTCCGTTCCATCCTAGGGCCCGGATCATGGAGATCATCGTCAGGCTCAGCCTCCCTGGTCACAAATACATCAAAGTCGTCGGGAAGAAGATTGAATTTGTCAGGAATCGCTGAAGGTTCGCGTCTCGTGTTTATTGTGGCAGGAGGTGATAGGGATCTTCTCAAGGACTCGTTATAGATCTGTTTACCAGGGCCATCAGAGCTTCGTGAGCCAATGGATGAAGAAAAACTGCCTTGGCCGTATAATTCCTTGGAGCCAGGTATGAAATTGGAGTTTGATGATCGCAACTGAATAGATTGAAATTGAGAAAAAGACTGGTGAAGTTCAACGTATAGTTTTCCGAGATTACAAGAGGGAAAGGAAGATATCTTACCATATCAGACCGATCACCCCTTACCATCGCCAAACTCTCATCAGGCGTCATACTGATCGGTCGCACGAATGTGTCATAGGGATTGGTGAGGACGGGGGCTCGTCTGATTTGCCCGAATTCGCCTTCGACGTTTATAGACAACGGTGTATCCCCTTGAACTTGAGGTACCGGCGAGACCTTCTCGTCAATATTTTCTGCGTGGTTTTTTGATGGCAGAGAATTCGAAGATGAAGCAGCGGTAGAGTGAGCCGAACCGCCAAAGAAGCTACGCCGCCAGCCTTCAGCTCCATCTGGCGAGTTTCCCATCCCATTCGGCGCTGCCTGGGATCGCCGGCGAACATCTTCCCATCCGGGACTCTTTGCGCCCTTGATTCCAAAACGGACATCATGAGCAGTAGGCATTTCAATCATTTCTGGCGGAGGTAGCTGGCGTTCAGAATAGCTAGGATTTTGCGAGCGACGCTTAAAGATACGCTCAGCTGCTTCCTTGTTACGACGCTCTTCCTGGGCACGAAGCTTCTCTGGAGAATCGTAATCAGAGTCGGAACCGTCATCCTCACCATCACCGGCATTTCGGAAGGTTGGAAAGCGTCTTATACGCTCTAGCTCTTCTTCGACATGATAAGGAGAATTCTCGTGTCCAGATATTCCAAGACCTGTGCGGGGCGTGCCGAATGCAGAGTTAGAAAATGCCGGAGACAAAGCAGACGGATTGGATTCTTGTCCAGTGGAGATTAGTCTTGAGCGAGACGGGCTCCTATGAGGCTGAGTAGGAGTATGATCCACAGCGTATTGGCCGGGAGAGAGGACGTTGGAAGCAAAGGCTGGCGAATTCACTTGACTGAATGGGTCCGGAGATCGATTAGGCGATAGGGCAGCAGTCGGATTGTAGGCTCTATGCTGAGGCCGATGAGTGGCCGCAGGATCAGGGGAGTAGATGGAGTGAGGGGAGACAAGGTTTCGGGAGTTCGAGTTGAGATCCACAGTATGAAATCGATCCAGCTCAGAGGAGTTTGTGTGCAAGTGAGACATTGTAATGATTCTTGATGAAAATTCGAAAAGTTGAAGCGACGAAAACCGTGATGACTCTCAAAAAACTTTCGCCAATTCAACCCAGGGAAGTTGCCAGTTCAATATGATGTCAAGGGGTGTCTAGCGTAACTCACTCAATGCAACTCCGAGGTGATTAAAATGATAGTGCAAGATCCAAGTGCAGTGAATGGATGTGAAATGCGAATGGGTTGTACGGTCAATGCAGACCAATCAAGACGAAAGGAGAGTTCCAGTGCGAGGAACACCGGAATAAATTAATAATAATGTGATGTAAATAAATGAAGTAGGTGAATGGTCAAGGATGTGATCAGGCTTGATCGTGGGTAGAGAAGGGCAAACGGAAAAAAGGAACACGATCCAGGACGATAGACGCAGTGACAGGACCAGCAGTTGTGAGTAAGAAAGAAAGGCAGAGCAGATTGAGTTGTCTTTTTCCAGACTCGCACAAATTTACATATCACTGGCCTTGATAAGTTGTGATCATCTTGCTTTTTGAGGCAATCAAATCACACTTCCAAGGTATCGTAAAAATAACAGCTCATAATCTGCCTGAGCTATGACAATGGATGGACTCTTCATGGATTGGGTCAGATTACCGCTACAAAGGCGGTGTTCACCTCGGCAGCCGCTCATATGCCTTTTTCGGCCCAGATCTGTCAATGCACCGTGTCCGGGTAGTGTTCGCTCGTCGACGAGCGCGCACGACTTCCCTTTCTGCCTCAAAGGGAGTTGGTGTGCGCTCGTCGACTAGCAAAGCCTACACAGACACGGTGATGGATGCTGACAGTCGACGTAGCCCACAGTTTTGATATCTTAACCTCCCGCTCGACGTCGAGTTATGACGACCGGCTGTAGCCGGCTGTGCGCGTCTGCGTAATGGACAGCCTCCCTGGTGAAGCACCGGCTCAGAGCATCTCCAACGGTGCCTTGTAAACGTAACGATACGTAAGCTGTATGTTACGTTTACAGGGTTGGGTCAAAAAACGACCCTCCACCGGTCGGCAGATTTCTCACCTCTGGCCACTCGTGTGAAGTTTGGTTTCAGGGATACTGGGTATCGCATGTCAAGACCTTCGTGCATGAAGGGCTTCCACAAAAGATGCAGGAAGCAGTATTGGCGACGTTTAGGACATAATCATACCACATGCGTCCAAAGATAAATATGATAATCGAAAGAAATTACATATCAAGTATATAGTCAATGAGATATCAGTCAACTTTTAAAAGGAATATTGTGCGCTTTCGGCGTTTTTGGCAGGAGCACGACCTTGGAAGTCCCTCCATCAGAGCATCTCCACCGGGCCGTGTAAAACAACCAATACAGGGTGTATCCACGTTGTGTGGGAAAAGATACGAGCCACCGCACCGCGTAAAGAGGCTGTATGGGTTACGCAACGTCCAAATCTTGGCCGGGATAGTATAAATTTGTTCGTTGCACAAACACCCAAACATCACCGCAAATGGAAGACCCGTACGACCTTTCTGTCACTTTGGTAAAGTTAGATCATACTATCTTTGGTTCACCGCACCGAATATATCACTCGATCGACTTCCTCTTCACACATCCTGGTGTTTCCCGATCACAATCAATCAACTTTCGACAACTTTCGATCCAGTTTGACTCTGTGTTAATGATTGTGCAAGGTAACCAATGCTTTGAAGGACTGATGCACATACCTCATGTGATCCAAAAGCATAGGATATGCTCTCTTTTGGGTGTGGATGCTCTTCAGTGCACAGGTATTCAGCTTTTTTGGCAAAACTTGTTCGATTTCGCCCAACCGATCACTCATTATACCTACCTCCACCTCATCAATGTCACTATTTGGTACATAGGTTCGTGTTTTCTGCTTTCCTCCTGTCTATAAAACATGAGGTTCAATTGTATTCGCCCTTCCTCACCTTCCTTTCATTCCTTCCATTCCATTCATATTTACCAAATTCTTATTGTCTCTGTCAATATCTTTAGCGCTTGATTCCTTCTACGACAATCCTTCCACGCTATATCCTTGCTATTTCACCTCTTGGCCGCCTATTTACCTTGCTACTTACTTTCTTATAACGTCTCTCTTGAAGATGTCGATGTGGTGGAAACACGGCAACTGGGAAGTCAATCATGTGTCTGAGTGTAAGTCTTCATCTTGATCATATTTATGTGGTCTTTATCGCTGATGTTGTTTCTCTATTAGTTATCGACCATCATCAACAGGAACCGGTTCAGCCAAACCCTGCCGCAATGGGACCTCCAAAGCGTCCTCCTTTCCATGAAGAAGGTATGTAACTTAACTTATTCTGTTTTTGTTGTCGCCGCCTTGACCAACTTTAATCAACACTTTCCTCGCTTTCCATGGCCTGTGATTGATAATAGGTCCTCACCCTTATTCATACTCGCCACCACGCACTCCTCAGGCTCAATGTAATACCCCATCTCAATGGTATCCCTCTAACGCATCAACTCAACCTGCCCAACCACCTCCAGCCCAACCGCCTTTGTCTCTTGCGTCATCGACACATTCTGTTTCATCCACAACTCCTTCTTTAGCTTCTTCTCAATCTCAACGTTCTAGCACCAAGCGTAAAGCTCCTGCCCAAAAAACCAAAGCTCCTACCAATTCTCAATCTACAAACCAAATTGCTCTTACCCCAGGCCTTGATGACAATACCTCCGGTGGCCGCGGCAGTTCCTACCACCCAGACGAAGATCTCCAGCTTTGCCGCTCATGGTTGAATATTTCTCAAGATAGCTTGGTAGGCAATGGTCAAACTTACAGCTCATTGTGGAAGCGAATTGCTGCCGACTTCAAACACTGGCGGCTACTTGAACCCGCCATCATCAAGGATCCTACCCTTTTTGTTGAAAGATCTGAAGAGTCTCTAGGTGGTCGATGGCGTGCAATCAATAAAGCTGTCAACAAATTTGTTGGCTATCTCTCCAAGACGAGGAATTTTCACGGCAGTGGCAAATCAGCTGACGATATCAATGCCGATGCCCATCAGATGTACTTCGAACGTGAGCGTAGTGTATTCAAGCTGGTGCGATGTCATGGTATCTTATCAAGTGCCCCTAAGTGGACCAATTACAACGTTGACCTCGCCAGACGTAGTAATCCTAAACCTTCAGCTTCTTCATCTGCCATCTCCATCCGATCAACCCCTGCTCCAACCGACGACTCGGACATTGAGGTAATCTCATCTGAATTTCATGATCGTCCTATGGGAAATAAATTAGCAAAGAAATCAAGGACTCAAGATGTGATTTTGTCTCAGATGGCTGATAATGTCAAGGTTATGGCAGAGGCTACTACAGCTATTGCCTCGCACTCTAGAGTTCAGAGTGAGGCAGTAGACTTTCTTACCGATGATTTAGTGCTCAAAACCAATACTGACTCGATGCAAGGTGAAGTTAAGATGTTTTATGAATTGAGGAAGAAAGAAATTGTAAAGAAGCGTATGGCTTTGATGAAGACCACTGCAGCGATAGAATAGTGTTTTTACATTTTTTCCTTTATACTTTTTCTTCCTGTTGTTTGTACCTCTTCT